TCAGGAGAAAGCAAATGCGATTGGTGAGCATATTGCCAAATCGCACATGCTTGGCTCCAACATCCAAAGTCCGCTTGAAGTTCAGGTTGAGCAATGCGTACTCAACCTTGATTCCTCCCCTTGTGCCATCCCTCCGGAGGATAGAATCACAGTGGAACAGATTTGCTCAGCGCTGAAATGCACCAAAAACATGAAGGCCCCCGGGTTTGACGGAATATTCAACCTAGTGTTGAAAAAACTCAGCATGAAGGTTCACTCTCTGCTGGCTGCTGTCTTCAACAGATGCTTGGAACTGCACTACTTTCCAAGTATCTGGAAGACAGCGAAAATCATACCTATCCGCAAACCCGGGAAGGACCCAACGCTAGCTTCAAGCTACAGACCAATCAGCCTCCTTTCAGCGCTGAGCAAATTGTTCGAGAAACTCATTCTCAATCGTTTGCTCAAGTTTGTCGAGGAAAATAACATTCTCCTTTCGGAACAGTTTGGGTTCAGAAAGGGGCACTCCACCAATCACCAGCTAGTGCGGGTGATGAATAACATCCGAAGTAACAAAGCTGTATCCAAGTCCACAGCCATGGCCTTGTTATACGTTGAGAAAGCGTTTGATAATGTCTGGCACAATGGGCTTGTATACAAGCTTTGTAACTTCAACTTTCCATTACATCTGGTTAAAATCACCCGTAGCTACCTCCAGCAAAGGTCGTTTAAGGTATCGTTGAATGGTTGTTTTTCAGACACGTTTTCCATCCCAGCAGGAGTCCCGCAAGGCAGTCTGCTGGGCCCCTTGCTTTACAGCATTTACACTTCCGACATTCCTCCCCTTGGAGACGGTTGCGTGTTTTTCCTGTTCGCAGATGATACCGCAATAGCCGTCAAAGGAAGGATGCCTCGCGAAATAACGAACAAACTTCAACGATGCCTTAACGCCTTTGCTGATATGGCCCCCACGTGGAAAATCAAAATCAATGCTTCCAAAACACAAACAATCATGTTCCTCCATCGGCAATCACCCAAACTAACACCGGCTCCCTCTTGTACTGTAATCATGGATGGCACAAGGGTTGAGTGGTCCACCGAAGTAACCTATCTCGGGATTTTGTTTGACGAAAAGCTCCTATTCCGCTCGCATGTGGAGAAAACCGTAGTCAAGTGTTCCGCCTTGGTTAGGAGTCTGTATCCGCTGATTTGCCGCAGATCCCGCCTCTCAAGGGTGAACAAACTGGCCGTCTACAAACAAATCGTAGCACCTGCGATCCTCTACGCAGCTCCGGTGTGGGAATCATGTGCACAGACCAGCCATGGTAAAAACACTGAACCCTTTTGCACGGGTGGCAGTTTTGTCTACAAACACACCACCAAGAGCATTGGGTTTTACGTTTCGTACCAGTGCTTGATGGAAAACCAAACGCAGCGAACAAGGCACCGGTACCGGTGCCTTGTTCGCTGCGTTTGGTGTTTTCTATCGAGCACTGGTACGGAGCGTACAACTCAATGCTCTTGGTGGTGTGTAAAAGAGGCAGTACGCAGTGTAGTGTTGCGTTTAGACATGCCTGGCACAGACTCACAGGAACAAAATTCAGGTAGCTCAGAATAGAGTGCTGAGGATGGTTCTTGATCGTCCTTTCGACACTAGAATAACAAATTTACATGAAGAGGCAGGCATTGCCAAAATAGATTCCAAAATTAACGAAATTAAGACTAAATTTGCACAAAAATGTAATTTATCAGAACATGCTTTGATAAGCAATTTGTATATAGTAGGTTAGGTGTACATAGTAGTTGTAGGTTAGTTGTAGTTGTAAATAGTAGTTATAAGTAGTCTCCTTTTTCCAATTCAAATTAAACCAATCCCACCAAGGTGGTCATACTTTAAAATAGGCCTGATAGGACTAGGAACTGTAAATAATAATTAAAATCCCAAATGTACTAAAGTTGAAAAGACGCATCTGTGTCACTTGAAAATTCATACATGTAAACCACACAATCACAAGAAATAAAGATCATTTAAACGGCAAAAAAAAAAATGTTTTGCACTGCACTGTCCTCTGTGAACAGTTATTGGAAAACAAATTATGTGTAGTTTCCGATCGATGCCACCGCCAACAACAGCAGTGACATCTGATGGAGCATGAAAGCAGAAGCAGAATCTGCTATTTATCAATTTTATTCAGATGAACGCGTCATTGGGACGGTACTAATGAATATTTTTGGTTGCTTTTGAAAATTTAGTTGATTACTGAATTTATGTATGAGCCAAAATTAGAGGCATAATGTTGAGGTAATTAATTGATTATTGAATTAGCACTCATACCATGAAAAAGCAGCCTGTTTGTGAGTTTTTGCCTGTTTTCAAGTAAGGAGTTATCATAAAGAAACAATTTGCTAGCTGGTATTACCCGGCGACTTTACAAATAAATACAATCAAACAAAATCATCATGCAGAACGAGGATTTGTTTCACTTCATATTTCACAAAATTGCTTTCGAGTGTTATGACATCGTTTCCCGCAAAGTTTACATTTTGACATAGGATTACGTCTCTTGGCAATATATTGGGGATGCAATTAAAAAAAAAAAAAAAAAACAAAATCGACCGTGTTACCAAAAGTGGTCAGGTGTTGACCACTTATAACTCTGTCAATAGCGGATGGATTTTAATTCTTAACAAGCCAATTGATTGGTAATTTTTCTTCAAAGCTGCTAAATTCAATACTTCATCAATTTTCATTTAGGTTACTATTGAAAATTACACAAATGTCCAATTGTGGAAATGGTTATCAAAATTATCACCGATTGCCTGCAAAAAGTGGTTTCCCTAACATAGTCGCCAAATATTGATACCGAGCACGTAATCCTACGTCAAATCTACGGTCGAGTCTTGGATACAACCTCTTACTTTTTTTTTTTCGAATTCGTGTATTTATTCTTTTCTTGGTGCTGGCGTTCTGCCTTCCGGAGGATGCACGCGAATGAGGTGTTAAGTTGGGTTTAGACAGGGCAAGTCAATTGATCAAGTCAGTTGAATTCAATTGAACGTGTAAACCATGCCATTCAACTTACTTGATCAACTCACTTGAATTGAAAAAAAGTTGAACCAGGCTCAACTTTTCAAGCCAATAGAATTCAACTGAGTTGATCATTTGACTTGCCTAGTCTAAACCCAGCTTTAGGCAGAAATTCGGTGCAAATGAAAAACTTCGCATGTCATTCAAAATGTTGTGTTCGATTGTAAAAACAACGCGGAAGATTTTTTCGATTACCGCGAGAGAACAAACCGGTGCTTTTTAGGAGGCAAAATTTGGTGAGATCCATCTGATTAAAAATCAATCATCAATGCATATTTCCATATATTAATAAATACGCGAGAGATTTCGAAACATCCCATTTCGAAATCTGGAAGTGTGTTTTGGCACTGCAAATTATTCATTGTTATTCATATGATAACGGTAGTGTGTACATGCGGGGCTTATTGTATGTGAAAGTAATCTCGGAATGGACTTGAACAACCAGGCATTCTGAAATGGGTTGCTGAATCTGCAGTAGAGCTATCGCTTTCTAACTCCCGGACTGAACATGCTTTAAACTATTACATCAAGGATTGTTGTAAGCAAATTTCTTCCATAATACCACTGCCGGCCAGTGGGGGTTAGATCGAATACACGAATACACACACAGTCCCAATTTTTTTTTTCGAGTACAAAAATCTGTACTTGTGGCATCGCTCAAGAGCTGTGGGGGGAACAGGGTGTTGTAATGTTGTTGCACCCAACAGCCCATATCCAGTTCCAATCATGAGGAAAGCAAATTAAATTTGTACTACCATTACCGGACGATGAACGGAATGTCATATTCATGTAACGCCTTACGAAGAGATGCGCTCGTAAAAATAAATATTATTGCCTTCGCCCTGAAGCGGTGGGATCAAACATGATAAGCGAAGCCCCCATCGGGTGCACGGCCATTAGCAGTCGAAGATAAGCGAGAAACCAGCTTGCAGTTCATTATATCACTATGCTGACCTATGATGGCTCAGGACCATTGAATATTTCAAAAAAAAAAAATGGATCGCTTTACCAAATGGCATCTTGATCCGGTCAGGAGCATAGTCTTCTGTAATATCATTTAGCAGCGAACTGTAATGCAGCGTGATAATTCATAACACCATCGGGCATTGCGTGTCTTCGATCGTGTGGGGTGATGAGAAGGTGCATAGTAGGGTTGCGATCTAATGTCTGTGCACATAAATATCAGAGCCGCCAACGTTGACGATGTCGACGGGGATCAGATTAACGACATCCACACACAGGACGGGCTAATGTTGATAAGCATTGATGGCGGCTAGTGGTCCTCCTCGATATGTGTCTGAAAGATAGAGACTGAGAAAGTGAAAGTGAATCATTTTATTTTTGTTACAACCGATAACTGGATTGCATGTTTGTAACATTTTGTTGCGTGGAATAACCGATTGCCGCACAATGCAAAATATATTAAAAACTCCTGAAATTAACAACCATTCCAGTTGGGACTCAACAGCTATGAAGGAGAATTGTAATATTCGAGATCGCCGGCATATCAATGTCCAGTAAACAACTGGCTCCTCCTCGTATTCAAGTAGCGAGAAAGTGTGAACCCGCGCGCGCAGACCCTCTCGTTGTTTCGCCTTGTCACATTTGGCCGACGGCCCAGCTGCTTGAAGTCACCAACGAAAGCCCCTCCGGTGATATCGGATGGCGATGACCTACTTCCTGTTCCCCTGGTTTCCTGAGAGGTGATGCTGAGCAGCGGCTCCATCCATACGACCCAGGCCAGGCGTCGTTTATCAATTTATATGCTAAAGGTTTCTTGTGCTTGTTGCCAATTCGAGTGCTTTTTTGTTGTTGTTTGCTTTCCACTTTTTTGGACTGTGCGCAGTTCTTCGGCCATCCCCTGGCACCGAGGAAACAACATATGAGTGATAGTGTCACATTCATATCTGTCCGGGCAGAGCTTTCGCAGTAGATGCCAACCAGCTATTCGATTCGGAGTTCAGTGAACCTGCTGGATGCTGGATGCATGGAAACAACGGAACATATTGGACAGACACGCGAGAAGCTGTGCTGGAACGGGATGGGCGTAAGGTTCGTAGTGTGCGGCATCAACATTGCACCATACCGGTCCCGGTCGGTCGGTCGGTGTCGTAAAGCGTCGGAGATGGTTTTGATAAGAGACCTATGGTTTGTTTTCCCTAGGGCATGATCGAAGAAAGTGAATTTATACCTGTCTGGAGGTTGCGAACTGGAAACTCGAAACCGATTCCTACAAGGCAACGCGCACTGAGGGGTACCTGGTGCAGCTTGGTTTGAAACTTGTTTGCCCATAATCAATCAAGTTCGATCAAAAACCAAAACTTTGTTCATTTTAACACTGTCGTAACCCCCATCCTCAACCAATGCAAAGCTTAAACTCCCCCGAAAAAAAAAATAACTCAAACTTCCACTCCTCTCAAAAGATATTCATCATCGTCCGAATCTGCACGCCTTCTTTTGTTAATAACAGGTTTTCGCTGAATATCATTTTTCCCGAAAATCCAACGTGAAGCACGACCCTGTTTGACCACCCGCTCCAGAGTTGCAGGAGAAATGCGCGCACAGTCGGACATCAGGAACAGGGATGCTAGATGATTTAGTAGGAAAGTCTTCGAAGGTTATAAAATGTCTGTTGAGTTGTTTTTGACCAAACATCCCGAATAAAAAAAAAAAAAAACCATTCAATAAATGATACAAACAACAATATTGATATAATACTGTAAACTATAAGTTCTATTGTAATTGTGTTTTACTCGGTTTTACTAGTTAAGTTTTTCATACACACTTAGAATTTTTATGAAAGCAAGCCCATTTAAAGTATAACTCTATAATGTGAAGGAGCTTGAGATTGAAATCGGTCTCCACAAGGCCACCGGGCTCGTTATTTCACAAAACAATTACGAGCAAGTTCCAGTTCAACCTGCTGTTACTAGATTTCGATCCCGGCGGCGACACCACCAACCTCACAACTATTCTTGAGAAGGATTTGTTATCGATCTCCGATCAACACGTCTTTCCCAAAACTCGAATGATATATATTTTACGAACTCGTTTCGCTAACCGAATTTCAAAACGCTTTATCTCATATTAATAAAAAAAATCCGATTTACACTAAAACTCATTGCATAGTTGGAGATGCTTAACGTCATATATCAGACTTAAAGTTGTCATTTTATTCGATAGATGAGGAGATGAAAGTATAGAGTTGATAGTTCCGTTTGAGTACGGCAGTGTGAAAAATTGTATATGGGTCATTCCAGCTCAAGTGAGTACAGAATTTAAAAAATTTGTGGTCGATGTCACTGATTTGAGCCAAAACGGTTATTTTGGCATTCTGAACAAACATCTTTTTTGATTTTGTTCTGAAATGCCTTGATCCCTCTTGGTTACAACCCTGGATTTTCGAGATTAAAAAAAATCAACTCTCAGAAGAGATTACTCCACAACCAAATAAGCTATTCGTGATCTTAGAACGTCAACCAATATTTTTGGTTCATCTTCTGAAATAGAATACCTTTTTGCCGTTACTTTGTCACCAGATATAGGCACAAAACTGTGGAATTTATGTGTGCCAGATATTGTCTTTGTGCTACACACTTAGAAAAAATCATGTAAATTTAGGTGCTCTGAGAGTGACATATACGAGCGTCAATTTTGACATATTTAAATTTAAGTCATAACAGACGCGAAATATAGCTCAATCAAACGTACTTTTCGTCGATCAACGAACTTTTCAGTCATGACGTGTTTGTTTACGTTTAATCTTTTATGTTAAAGATGGATTCCATCACGTGTAAAATTAGTTATTTCTAATCGATTCACCCCTCGAAACATAGGAAAATCCACTAACCCCTCATGTTTTCTGTCAAACTTTCATAGCGAATCAAAACAAACATAGTGTAGTACTGGAATTTCGACTAGATCACGTTAATCGATTTGCTTGGGACCAATAGGCTAGTCAAGTAGTGAGCCAATTTAAAATCGGTAGTTTCGTATTGATTGTTGATTATACTCGCTTTCTGAAAAGAGAAGAAGGAAAGGAATAGGAGAAGGAGAAAGCGAAAAGGATTATGCAAACTCTATCAACATAAGCAATATTTTTGATTTGAAATATACAATATAGAAATGCATAACGGCGGTGGTCACTACCCGAGTCTTGTCACTATTATCAAGTCATAAAAAGTAACAAGAACTAAAATGTTATCCTTTTATTACTGGAAAATCCTGATTCCGTAGTTTGAAGTTGTCACAACTAGGGTTCGGTGGTAGATCTTATACCAGTAACGCACCACAAAAAGGTGATCCCACAACGTTACTGGTTTAAAAGATAAAAATTTACAAAGTGGAACGAACTCACCAAGTTTAGCCAATTGAACCAAAAGGTACACTACCGATCATAAGTTTAAGGACACCCCCAAAAAACCATACAAATATGTTTTGTTCAATGATCTCTCATTTTACGTTCAATTTCCGATCTCCATTGGTTATTTTAATGGTATGAATGGTATAGCATAAGTGTTCTATTACTTTTATTTCAAAATTTGGCCAACTCAATTCTGAGAAAATCAGTCACGATTCTTCAGAGTAAATTTTGAAAAATATTGTAACTTTGGGTGAACTTTTAGCACACAAAATTTGAAAATTATATTGAACAATTTGCCTACGAGGAAAGTTCAATTCAATACCTTTCAAATGATCTAAAGAGAAAGCAAATTGGACGTAGAGACAGAGATGTGAACATAACAAATTTGTCATGTTTTTTTGGGTGTCCTTAAACTTATAATCGGGAGTGTATGTGATGATGTGTTAATCAACATAAACTAGTCCGGTTTATGTATTTGAGCGAAATGTTTTCCCATGATTTGAGATTAAAAATGTTCGGATGTATGTAGTCGATTTTTGATGCACACTTAGAAATAACTAATTTGGCAAGTGACGGAATCCTTCTTCTTCTTCTTTTTCGCATTTCAAGCTTATTGCGTATGGCATTATTAGCTTATTGCGTGCTCTCAACTTAGTGTTCTAGATGCACTTCCACAGTTATTAATTGAGAGCTTTCGATGCCTGTACCATTTTTGCATTAGTATAATTGTGTGGCAGGTACAATCATACTCTATGCCCAGGGAAGTCGAGGACCGGACCGGGAATCGAACCCAGCCACCTCCAGCATGGTCTTGCTTTGTAGCTGCGCCTTTACCGACTGAGCTAAGGGAGGCCCCTAAAAATGACGTGACGGAATCCATCTTTGACATGAAAAATGAGACGTAAACAAGCATCTCATGTAATATTACGTACCGTAAAACGGGGTAGCATTGATAGTTTTTTAAAGTATATTCTAAATATTTTTTACGGCAATGAATGTTTTTCAAATTTTATATTTTTAAAACAAGTACTGAGGATCTAAGAGTCAATTCGTTAGTGATATGTTTAACGAAAATTAAAGCATTTGCATTTTTTTTTTAGTTTTGTGACCGAACTTCAGTTTTTTGATTTGGAGTTACTTTGATAATGCTCGATGAATGTAGAAAAAAATTGGTGAAACTCAAACAATTTAGTTCTTTAAATATGAAACTTTGAATGAGTATATAATCAGAAAATATCATAAGCAATAAAAATACCACATTGAATTGGTGATGGCTATATAGAAAATAAATTTCATAAGTAATGGTTTGAGTGCTTTTTCAAACAGGCGAAAACGCGAAAATTGTTTTTTAATATGTTTGTAAAATATGTAACACATACTATATAAAAACTGTATACAATATCAACGGAAATACCCTTAGCTACAATATCGAACCAATGTTTCTAGTTTGAAAAAAGCGCAGCGACTAAATTTCTAGACTAACATTTGAAAAGGGCGTAATTCCAAAATGACCATATCGAGAAAATCGCTTCTGAATTTTGATGACCTAAAAATTAATCCTATTTCACGACTTTCCATTTTCTGGATGATTTTATAAGCTTGGCATATAGTTAATAGTGTAATCTATCATCATGCATCACTAAAAACTAAAAAAAAGTTTTCTTTGTCGTGAAATCGAGAAGAAAACATCATACGCCCTGATAATTTCATACATGTTGTTACCCCCCGGATCTTCCACCCTTTGAACTGCCAACACTGGTGATACGCCGTGGAAGTACATCCTCGGGATTTTTTGTTTTCTTTTTGTTCGTTGTTTACACGTGAACTATCAATCGGATGCATTTCAAATGAATCGGGCGTGACTAGATACTACAGACTCAACACGTTTGACATATTAAAACGATATAATTCGTAGTTCTGGTGCAAGGCGTAACAACCAGATGCATCATAGAGTTGAAAGTTGGAAATACGCCATGTAAGAAGAAACGTTTTTGATGATTTGAAGTGATATTTTCTTCTACTTTTTCGTGTTTATCGAGTAGTTTGTGAACTATTCTCTCTATATGTGGCAAAATATGGTTTGTTTACATTTTGGCTCTTCCGCCCCTTTCAAATGTTAATCTAGATTTAATCTTTACATTATAATATCAAAGTTACCCGCATTATCAAAGATACCCCGTTTTACGGTACCCCGAGACTGAAAAGTTCGTTGCTCGACGAAAAGTACGTTTGATTGAGCTATATTTCGCGTCTGTTATGACTCAAATTTATGTCAAAATTGAGGCTTGTATATATCGCTCTCAGAGCACCTAAATTTATATTAATTTGTCTAAGTGTATGTGCTTTGGCAAGCCTTTTCGTGACCAATTCTCGCGTCACTTTTCAAATAGACCAATGTAATAAATGTAAACAAATCGAGTTAAGCGATACAAACTATTGCTCTTCTATCATTGTATGTGATACAAAAACATACATCCAAATTTACTTTCATTTATTTAAGATAATCATTGATCAAAAATTGTCCAATGCACAGTTTGAAATGATGGGTACATGATTGTTACTTCGGTCATTCGGACTGCCTAACATGATTGGTGCTCATTATCCAAAGGCGGGGCCAATCTAAAGTTAGGTACTATACTCTGAAATCTGTGAAAGGGAATCTAGTATCATGTAGACAAAACGTCCAATG